TCCAAACAGCCAAATAAATTTCTTTGAATCATGCGTAAGGAGATCCAAGTTAATCCAAGAAGGTAAGAGGATCCAAGGCAGTACAATTAAATCCAAATGAATTCAAGATCTGGAACAATCCGGAAATGTTGATCTGAGATAGTCCAAGAAGATCAATGGCAACGCAATGCAACTTGTGCATCTGCGTCACGTTTATGCAGCCATTTGGTTCTTTCCAGTACACATCAAGAACCTAGGGTTGCCAGACATTGACATATTTTCTGAAAGTGAAAATGTAGGGCTTTGAATAGATAGGGTTTCTATGTAGCCTAAATGTCTGCATACCTGCTAAATTGGGTAGGCGGTCGATTTACCAATAGCAAGAATAGGACTAAGCTAAATTCTTATAGCTGATTTTTTTAAATACTCGTACTTTGTGAAACATTACAAAGTAATTGAACTTGAAAGTAGAGGTCTTGCTACAAATTGGCCTCTCTCTACCTTGCTTGTATGACATAAGAAATGTCGTCACGTAGTAGTACTTGTTACGCAATTCTAGACAAATGGCCTTTGTATGTATGTTCACGGAGTACGTAAAACCTTTTACCTTGACACAAGGCCGAGTAATAGAATATCAGTGAAAGAAGTTCTGTTGATTTGGCAAAAATTGAAATTATGGACTTTGAATTCGGAAATTATGTTTGCCAGGAACGAACGATAGAAAAAATCGCTTTATTTTCCGAAGATGAGCCTAACAACGACTACAATCGCTGGTTGCTTTATGATTAAACAATAAATGATACAATTGTCTTTACATAGTCATGAAATAGAAATATGCACATAAGCACGTTTCTAAGAAGCATGAAGGACATTTGGGTTATATGTATGAGATAGATTGTAAGTTATCTAATAACAGCAGTAGAAGAATATAAGATAACATGATCCAATTTAATAATTCTATTGTACAGAGTGTGCCAAGGTACATAACCCGCACGATGTATTTTATCTGAGTCAACTTTGTTATGTTGTAGTAAGTACTATTGGCCATCTATGGAATCCCTTACAGGTGGTTATGTAATATAATATAATGGATATAATTGAAGAGAAAGTATCTTTGCTTTGATTTTTTTTTTGAATAATCGAGGACTACCTTCGTTTGCCCTGGTATCTTCATATTATCTTCATATTCGCATAATCGTCTAATCGTTATTTGACACCTGATTCACTACACCCCTAATGATGTGACCTTATCTGATTATGACCTATTCTCAGTTGTTCAGGTAACACATGAATCGCGTGGATGTTCGCTCGACAGCGAATAGCGCACTTTATTTCGTATATCTTTATACGTATATGTCAGCCTAACAGTAAATATACGAAAAAATATATTTGTGAAATATGCCTAATAGGCGCGTAGAATTACAGAGGCTACAAAAAAAATTGCCAGGCGCCCTACCTCACCCTTCACATGGTGTTGTGAGGGGTGAGGTAGGCACCACAGCCGATAGTTTAACCTCAAAGGCTGCTACGCTGCTAGACTGATTTTCGAAAACCACAAAGTTTTTCGTGCTCAGCGTAGTAGTACTGTGCAAAATTTCTGGCCAAAAATTAACGAACATATAGACAGACATAAGGACAGACAAAGGGGTCGACAGACTGGCAGAAATGCGTGACGTTGTTTTTCATAGTGTACATATCATTTAACATACAAAAAACATATCCCATTGTCGAATTTTAATGCGATTACAATACTTCCTCGCCTGTACAGATCTTTGGAATTTTAAAGAATTTTTGACGCAATTTTGCACCTGGTAACATGCAGTTCACCATAATATTATGCACAAAAACTGAATCAAAATATATTTCGGAGTAGATGCGGAGGTATTTTCTCGCTTAATTATATCTCAAGTGCTCTAAATAGTGTTTTTGCAATAGGAGCACAGTAACCAGGTGTGATGCTCCATATACATTATTACAATTTTCGCGCTGCACAGATGGCGCCGCTATTATATACTAGCCACATATTTCACATTAAGGGCAACCTCGGTATATTTTTTTCGCACTGTTCGAATGGAACATTCTAATTAGCCGAATCCTCTGCTCCGGTTAAGTTTCAGCCGGTGGCAGCTGCCTGGATTTATGAAACGTATTAAGGCTTCTCTTCGTTCCTCTTTTTTCTCCCGTTGACTAATTGGCGTAGTTACTTTACACACGCAGTGCTCGTAAATCAGAGTAATAATGCGCTTGTACTAAGAGAAACGTGCGTCAATTAGTACAGACGATGGCTTTCTTTCAAGATACCAGCACCACCACCATGTATCTCTTGTCTCTTGGACTACTTTGCAGATTCGAAGACCACCTCGACGAGGAACAGGGTCTATAAGCGGGGCTTCGGGCTCTGCAAGCTACTCAAATTTCAAGTTGATCACATATACGGAATTTTTAACATTTAACATATTAAATTTGTCTGACGGCTGGAGTTCAATGTGTACAAAAGAGAAGTGTGTATAGTTATATCTGTTACCAAGAGATAGAAGCCGGTTGGATCGCGAAGCTCATTACTGCGCTGCCAAGCAACGCTAACGCGGCAATCTGCCGCGTTTCCAATGTGTTACACCAGTTTCTTGAATTAAGATGCATGTTGAAAATATACGTTATTTCATTGTCTTGTTGAATTGTGAATTGTATCGAATCTATCTAGGATCGATTCCAGATCGGTCCTAATGGCGCTTCATTTTAGGTCGAAATTAAAGGTCAGGATCGCCACAAATACTGCAACATTGCATCATTGGTTCGCTGGACAACACCGGATCTCGTACATTCCAAGGCAAGGTTTCCACCTCCATGATCATAGATGAGAGATTTTGGACAGTACCCACCAAGCGCTCATTGGGGGTGTCGTACTACTTCGAAATAGTTTTCATCTGCGGACACCCAGGCAGTGATAAATTGTATCGCGTAATGGTATTTGTTACATTTTACGACTGATCGCTGTCGCAAAATGTAACAATACCTTAGGGTGTTTTGATTTTATCATCATCGGTGGAAAACTAATAAAATAAACTAAAACACTAAGTCACATCAAAATTGAATTAATTATAAGTAACCTAACCTATTGTAGAAGCCTGTGCGAACATTTTTTGTGGTAACATATTGACAACACAGCAGATTCCACCACGTGTCTGCGTCACCGTTGCTATGCAATGTGGTAATGACTTTGACGTTGATACGCGCTTCTCTCTCGTACACATTGAATTCAAGCCGTCAGATAAATTTGGTCTTCCGTGTACAACAATAAAACTGTTTCTTTACCCTGCGCTCAGATTAAGAACAAAAATGGAACTCTCCTTATGATTAATTAATGAATTGATTTTTTTCAACTTCTATTTTTATTGTCAGCGCAGTTCAACGTTTTACTTTTATACGTTTTCTGTATCTTAGTACGTTTTTTTATAGAGTCAAAGTAGCAAGTGTTCCTCATATGAAGATGCTTAGTTAAATTTTCGAAAATGACCGATTTTTGGATAAAAATGCTAAAATTGAAGACTTGTGGCTTTTGAATCAAGTAGGTACTGAAGTAAAAAAATGTTGATGGCAGTTTGTTTTAAAATATTTACATGCAACAGAGATCAGGCACTATAACTATCCTTATAGCAATCTTTCGATGCGGAGATCATAACTACCTACGTTAGTGCTTTCCAAAAAGTTCCCCCACTTGCCCTAGCTATTTTATGAACAGGTCAAGTTAGCAAGCTGAAATGCAGCGTAATTAAATCAACGTGCCAGTTAAGGATTTGTTTGTCTCTTCATTCTGATAGTCTTTAGGGAGGATCAGAGTTCAGTTCACATAAGTCATTTTTTATGGTTCTGTCATTAAGTCTGTAGTTTTAGTCTTATTTTTCAAAAGTGTGAGCGTTTGCAGATGACTGTGGTGATGACGTACTTCTTAAGCCGCGTACAGGCCCTAAATCCAAACGAATGCAAGCACATGTGACATTGGCATTTGTTGTTGGAAGGTATTTCAATGCGCCCGTTTACACCTAGATTTAGTTTCGAGCTGGAACGCGTCGGGTTACGTTCGGTGCTAAAAGCGAGCGACGAGTCTCCTCTGATCGAATGCAGACAAACGACTAAATACTAGAAGCACCACAAATCCTGTCCAGGCCAAATCAAACCTCCCTGTGATGTACCGTTCAAGGAGCGAACGCAATCGAACGCCAACGTCGACCTTGGAAATTGTTGACTTGTCGGCTCGCGCCGTACACACCGATTCGAGCACCTCCAAATCTGTAACCACATGTACCTTGGCTTGCGTTGAAATCTCGATCTGTACGCAGCTTTAAATGATTTCCATAGAACAGCACACGCCTAATGAAGGTAGATATTTCCACTGGCAAGTATGATTATTATGTTGATACAACGCTGTCACTTTGGTAGGTATTGGAAGGCAAACTACACAGTTTTGGCGACAAACAATGCAATGTAAACATGTAGATTTGGCTCCATCTAATCTATTCGCATTTGTTGAATCAAATTGACGACCGATGCTACATTTTAGCGTATAAGTGGCAGATAATTTCAAGGTGGCGGCCGAGCACCATTTTGAAAAATTTCCTCTAAATGGAATGGGATTTGTCTGATATCTGATTTTGAAACTCCTTGTGAGTATTTTATAATCCTGGAACATAAAATCACAATCATTGAAAAAGGCGAACTTATAGCAACCTTCTTCTGTATCCGAATATGTAACTAAATACGAAATATCCCATTTGAAAAATTGTCACAACCTGTCAAATGGCTTTCAGTGATATAGGGTCATAAAGTACTCATAAAGCTTTCTAAATAAGGTATCACACGACTCTATTTGAAAAATATTTACGAAGTAGCGGCCAGGATCTTGGAATTTTCAATAGTCACCGAAATGGATAGAGGCAGGCTTTCTGAAAGACACTGTATATTTGGTTTGTTGTTTTTCATAGGAATTGGCTAAAAACTTTCCATCCTATTTTCCGAGCGATATTCTATACATTTCTTCCCAGGCGTCTGACCCCATCACAGACGAGAATAATCTCAGCCATCGCCTCTGGCACACACAATAGAATCTTCAAAGATGGTGAAAATAAAAGAGCCATCCAGCCATCTCCCGCGCTACCTTTCTTACTGGCTGGCGAGTATGCGAGGGCACGTCCGAATATAATATTAAATAATGCTTTTTCCTTGTTGTGTGTATTACCAGCTAAGCCGATTTCCGCTTTCTTGTAGACAGAGGCGGAGAAAGCTTCGAGTAAAGCTATGAAATGTTCCTAACAGACTCAATTACTGTCCATAAGACGTATCATCATCTGAGTCTTCCCAGCACCCAGTGCGACCCTGAGCAGAGCGGATCCAACCAGGGTGTCTTATGGTCTACCGCCACTGAAATGTTTTAGTGAAAAATGTCAACCTTTTTTTCAGTTTTCAACCCCCCCCCCCTCCCCTCCTCGACCTGCCAAATATATTTTCAAGATCAGCCCCCTGATCTTGGCTATTGAAGCGAGATGTGGATATAGATAGTGTTTTATTATCTTTTCTGACAGATTTTCTCGTGCGTTTTGACATTCGTTAAATAAATTTGTGAACTTAGTCCTTAGAGACGACAGCAAGACTTCTGCACACAATACAGCGTAACGGAAGGTAAGACAAGAACGCCCACTTTGACTCAGCTCTTCTACTCTCTCATTTCAAGAACAGAGGTCCAGTCAACAGAAGAGGGTAAGTGCGGAGGACCAAACCTCGGAACTAGGCGACACGATGTCTAGCACTAGGAAAATATCTCAATATCTGACATTACTGGTGTCAGACTCGATAGGAGAAATGGTAAGCGGCCGCCGCCTCTCTTTCGCATAGATGAAGGGGAATACGCTATACAGACGATAACAACTTGAGCCTTCGTTAGAAGAAGGCATAGACGGCTTTTCGCTTTTAAGATTTTCAAGTTACCTTTGAAGATACAGCAGTGAGCTTAAAAACAGGTCCAAGAGATATGGATATTCTAGAAAATCGTGTTTCAATTTTTCCGGAATAATAAGTTCAATATAGCTTTTTACAAAAATCTTATTTGATGAATCCAATAGCAACTCTTTTCATAAAGCACTATCTTTTCATATGCCCAAATTTAGATGTATATGGGGGCGGATATCATTACATCGCCCTTATTTACTCATCAAGAGACGAGAAAACTGGAAATATCCACAGTTTTGATTGAAGCATATTTCATACACAGGGTGGCCAATATATATACTAAGTGACATATAAATCCGAACACCCAGTTTAAATGGTTTTATTTCAATAAAATTTTGTATAAGTACTTAATGAAGCATAATAAGTAAATGATGAAAATTTCAAAATGATTGCACTGCTTTAAAGCCGTTTGACCTTTAATAATGTGTGGATGCACCCTGATGTGCTACGCATTCTTCAACGCGCCTAGGCATGCTTCTGATCAGGTGGTCAATGTCCTCCTGTGGTATCTCATTCCAGGCAACCACCAACTCCTTTCGAAGTGCTTCTAGAGTCTGAGGAGGACGTTGCAAATTGAGCAATCTCCTACCCATCATATCCCACACGTGCTCAATTGGGGATAAGTCGGGAGATCTTGGTGGCCATGGTAACAATGTGACATCATTATGTTGAAAGAAGTCTATTTTGACTTTTGCAACATGTGGTCGTTCATTATCTTGTTGGAAAGTTGGATCTGCCAGGGTGTCAAGATAGGGTAAAAGATGGGGTTCTAGAACTTCGTGGATATAATGCTGCGCGTTCATGTTACCTCTGATGAAGATTAAAGGTGACCAGGAACCATAAGCTATAGCACCCCAAACCATAACTCCAACAGTGTGATGAACATGTCCTTCAACAAAAAACTGTGGATTCCTCCTTTCACCACGTCGCCTTCTAACCCTGGCACGACCATCGTGCATGCCTAAACAAAATCGAGACTCGTCACTAAAGACAATACTGTTCCATTCCTGATCTAAGAGTGACCGTTGTCTGCACCACAGGCGATTACGTCGGTGTTCTCGAGTTAAAGGGAGGGCCCAGTGTGGCCGGTATGAAAACAAGCCAAAACTTCTCATTCGTCGGTAAACACTTCGCATGTCAATAGGTCTTCCGTGTTCTGCAAACCATTCATTTGCAATGGACCTGGTAGTGGAGAAACGGTCCCTTAAGGCCAATAATCTTAGGCGGCGATCTTCACGGTCTGTTGTTTTACGGCGGCGTCCAGTGCCCCTTGCTCTTTGCGTACGGCCTTCTCGAAGCCATGCCTCACAACACCTAACCACAATGTCTACACTTATTTGCACTCTAACTGCAATTGCCCGAAAAGAAAGTCCAGCTTCCCGAAGTCACACTATACGGCCCCTATCAAACTCACTAAGTTGACGAAATCGTACAGGTCTCCGTACTCTAGGCATCGTAACCGATCGTAAAGGATGTCAAGAACCAAAATCCGCCAACGTTGATTCTTTACTCCGGCGCTGAAATATTCATTTTTAGAGCTTTAGTGAATTAAAAAAAAGCATTATAAAAACCGGAATATCCAACTGATAAGTCTGAAAATTTGTTCACTTGTTATTTACAGTAAGATAAATACATTCACCTACATTTATTAAAATAAAACCATTTAAACTGGGTGTTCGGATTTATATGTCACTTAGTATAACTGACTGATTTAAATGGTGCGCCATTTATGATACACGCATTTCAGTAGGTGGCGCCGTAGTAGTTATTTTAAGCACATGTGTCCAATTCATCATGGAGTGCTACACGATCCCACAACGCGTCCCTATTGTTAAATAAAGAGTCGATTTTGGTCGAAATAATTTGCCCATTGTCAACACCATTCGTCAGTGCGTGAGGAAATTTGAACAACAAGGTGAAGTAAAAGACTTGCCACCAAACTGTTGGTACTCCGGAAAATATCGAAAGAGTTCGTGAAAGTGTAGTGGGGCACCCTGAGACGTCGACCAGACATCGTTCCCAAGAACTAGGTATTCGTTCCACGTCTTTATGCACTATTTTAAAAAAAAGACTTCTTGCATCCTGCGCTGTGAGGTTAAGTGGTAGAGTAGCCAGTTGGCTAAACTTCGCCTCGCAGTATGGAGGGATTAATAAAGACATTATTATTATTATTATTTGCGACCATACAGAATTCAGTTAACTCAAGAGGTACAGCCTAGTGACCATGAAAGTCATGCAATATTGCAGCCAAAGACCCAAAATAACGATTTTCACCAACAACTGATGATGAGTAATGAAGCCCACTTGGAAATGAACGGATTTGTTAATAAGCAGTGCTGTCGTATCTGGGCATTAGAGAACCCTCGTGTCATTTACCAATGACCACTACATCCTCGTCGAGTCTTAGTTTGTTGTGGTGTTTGGTATGTAGGTGTCATTCGACCTTACTTCTTTGTTGTAATCAGGATGGCTCAGGTTTCCATGGGTTCCATAGGCGAATATCTGTCTGATATTATTTTTCATGCACAATTTCTTAGTTTCAATAAATGATAAAGATGAAACAAATGGACGTATTTTATTTCATTCCACAAATATTCAAGTTACAAACCAGTCAGTTACATATCGGCCACCCTGTATAAATATATGACCCATCTGGCTTCATACGGCTCAAAATCTGCTAGTTTTGTTTTTTATGGGTCTCAATAGATAAAACTACAGCGATCTCGGAACATTTTATACCTTCCAGTTTACTAATTTCTGCGAGTTTCACATTCATTTGACTTTTATATCTACGTACTATGAAATTGCTTATCAACATACAAGTCCAAATTTTTGTTTGTTTGGATGTATCTTGTCCATCACCCACAAAGAAACCAATGACGTGGTGGGTTAAAATTGAGATACCTTGTTGAAATTTGATAGCGCCGCAGAGAAGTTGAGATTATCAGTAATAGAAAAAATTAAATTGAAGATCGTATCCTAGCAAAAATAACTGAAAAAATAAAATAAAATAAAAATTATCCAAGTAACATCAGAGTATCGAATTTCCTTTGTAATAATGGAAGGCGAAACATCAAAATTTAGAAACAATACTTGTGAAGGTTCTGCTTGTGGACCTTTGAAGTTCTACTTCTTCTAACTCTACTTCCCATGACTACGCAGCGCACATTTGTCTTCAACTCTGGAAGTTTTATCATTCGGCAGACACCCAAATAGCTTGCTTACAATCGGAAGAAAATATTTTTTGCACTGACAAAGAAACCATTTATGTACTTATTTAAACCTCGAAATATCCTGCTAAAATTTGACTAGCGAGTGGTTTATAACCAATACAGATGTTAATGTTAATGTCTGCCGTCGACTTACAGTGTTTCTTCTAAATCACTCAGGTAATTACAAATCAAAAGAAATACACCTGAGTATCTCACATTTGGAAATGTCGCCATAAAATACATATATTCCAATGAACTTTTATGTTCAATTTTGTGGGATCTACCGACTGGTACATTATAAACATGAATAAGCTGATGCATAGAGAGTAAAAATCTAAAATAGTTAATCATAATTCCAAATCAAAAGGCGCAACAAAACTAATCGAAGAGCTTCTTAATATACAATATTCTAAACGTGTTTCAGTGAAAATTTTAAAAATTCTTCAAGTGGACCAAGATGCCGAGGCTTTCGTATGCTTACGTCTAACAGTACTCTACCGTATGAAATAGAAAGTTGTTAGAATGGCTGTTTTTCGTTCTGAAATATATATTTACTCATGCATACAACCTACTTAAGGCTTCATCTACGTTGGTCTATACTATCAATGATTTTTCAACCTGTAGTACTCGCAAGAGCCAGTTATAATTTCTAGAAGGATGAAATGTACACCCATAAGGATACGTTACCTTAGATACTGCCTCTGAGTACAAAATTCCAGTATTCCTATCCGCCACTGGCTGTAACGTTGCTTACATATAATTTCAATATCAAATGGAATAGAGGTGGATCTACACTGTTACCGTCATTGTAAACACTACGAATACTCGCATTCGATGTTATTTATCGTCGAGCTATGGTAATAGCTGTGTTATTTACATTAAGTTGTATGTCAGGATTTTGCTCATTGCGACTCGACTGCGGTAAAGGTAAAACAAAGCAATGATTGCAAGATCGAGACAATCTCTTGATACTTGTATAATGTTTCTGTTCTCATATAGTAGAGCTACGTTTTTCCGAGGATAATTACAAAATTTTGCTTTGGTGATCTATTTGGCCAATGGATAGGTGCATTTTTAAGTGCCACCTAATA